ATATATATATATATATATATATATATATATATATATATATATATATATATATATATATATATATATATATATATATATATATATATCCGTTTGCTTGTTGAACTCCGACTGGAATCCTGCAGACGTTTCGCCAAAATCTCACTTGGCATCTTCAATGCTCGCGCTCCGAAAACAGTGTTCGAAGTGTCATCATATATATATATATATATATATATATATATATATATATATATATATATATATATATATATATATATATATATATATATATATATATATATATATATATATATATATATATATATATATATATATATATATATATATATATATATATATATATATATATATATATATATATATATATATATATATATATATATATATATTCTCACGTATTGATTCACGGATGGAGAAATGTGATGACACTATATTCCGGGATATCATCCGTTCGCTCGTTGAACTCCGACTGGAATCCTGCATCCGACTGGAATCCTGCAGACGTTTCGCCAAAATCTCACTTGGCATCTTCAATACTCGCGCTCCGAAAACACTTCGAACACTTCGAAGTGTTTTCGGAGCGCGAGCATATATATATATATATATATATATATATATATATATATATATATATATATATATATATATATATATATATATATATATATATATATATATATATATATATATATATATATATATATATATATATATATATATATATATATATATATATATATATATAGGGTTTTTCACTTAAAACTCCGCACGCCAATAACTCCAAAACGAAAAGAAATCTTTAATTTATGTAAAAAGTAGTCAGTGTGGGGTCAAGTAGATATTTCCTAAAGTTTAAAAAATTCGACGCCTGCAAAGAGCTGGGCGTCGCGACGCGTCGAAAAATTATTCGACTGCAGAGACTTTGGAAATACGCGCATACAAAAGTACATATTATTTAAAAACTTTTTTGTTATTTACTCAAACTTATTTACTTTACCCCTTTCTAAGTTATACCGATTTAAAATAAACATTTCTTGAATAATAAAAAATGGGATTATCGCTTATTTTTACAAGTATGCCATGAATGTTAGTTACTATGGCAACCATTGTTATCGCAGTTGTTTTAAGTGCAATTACAAACAATAGATTTCAACTATTTTAGTATGATTTTATTTATTATTTTTTATCGATTTAGTTCTAATAACATGATAAATAAATGAAAAAACAGTAAAATACCTACAAGTTAATAACCAAAATTATTATTGCAATTAACTCCATAATAAGACATTTCAACAATTTTGTTCAAAATTATGTCCATCTGTTCGAACACAACTATCAAAAACTTTTAACAGATGAGCTTGGGTCATTTGTAGGAGAGTCCTTCTTGTGATAGCGGCACACGCTGCACTAATTTTGTTAATGAGATCAGCCATATCTTCGATAGGTTCTTCATTGATAACGTTTTTTAGGTAGCCCCAAAGAAAATAATCTGGTGGTGTAATGTCCGGGGACCTCGCCGGCCACCTTACCGGTCCATTAGCACCAAACCATCTATTCGGATATTCTCGGTTCAAATACCTCGTTACTATTTGGGCATTATGTGCAGGTGCTCCATCCTGCTGTAGCCACATATTCATTCTAGTGTCAAGAGGCACTTCTTCTAATAGTTCCGGAAGTGTAGTATGAAGAAATCTTAAATAGCGATCTGCATTTAAAGTTCCTTCGTAAAAGTAAGGTCCAATAAGGAATCCATTTAATATGCCGCACCAAACATTGATACTAAAAATTCGTTGGTTACCTCTTTCTGTAATCCAACGAGGATGGTTTTCGGACCAAAAACGACAGTTGTGTCTATTAACGATTCCATTATTTTGAAATCGACTTTCGTCGCTCCATAAGATTTTCGAGAGAAAATTTGCATCTTGGCTATACAAATCGGACAATGTCGCTAAGAAATACATTCTTCTAGCATAATCGTCTGGTTCTAGTTTATGAACTAGTTTACTTTTGTACGAGTGGAAATAGTTTCTATGTAGAATTCTCCACGAAGAACTTATGGTAACACCGGTATTTTCTTTTATCTCTGATAGGGATATCTTGGGGTAATTATCAACCTGCTGAATTACAGCAGCAGTATTTTCATTATTTGTAGCCGTCATGTTCCTATCTCTTTTAGGTTTTATGAAGCTGCCATATTCTCTTAAGTTTTTACATAAACTTGAAAAGGTTTTTGCATCGGGGACTCTTCTATGCGGATAATGCCGTGCGTAAACTCTTTTTGCTTCTCTACAACTGCATCTGCATTCTCCAAACACCAGTAACATGTCTACTTTTTCCTCATTGCTAAATTGCACCATTTTCACATAATAATTCTTAGTTTTTTTTAAACCGAACAAATTTGGATATTTCTTGTGACAAAATGTGACAATTTTTTGATACAGCAATAACAACTTACGTTTGTAATTGCACTTAAAACAACTGCGATAACAATGGTTGCCATAGTAACTAACATTCATGGCATACTTGTAAAAATAAGCGTTAATCACATTTTTTATTAATCAAGAAATGTTTACTTTAAATCGGTATAACTTAGAAACGGGTAAAGTAAATAAGTTTGAGTAAATAAAAAAAGTTTTTAAATAATATGTACTTTTGTATGCGCGTATTTCCAAAGTCTCTGCAATCGAATAATTTTTCGACGCGTCGCGACGCCCAGCTCCTTGCAGGCGTCGAATTTTTTAAACTTTAGGAAATATCTACTTGACCCCACACTTTGACTACTTTTTACATAAATTAAGTATTTCTGTTCGTTTTGGACTTATTCGCGTGCGGAGTTTTAAGTGAAAAACCCTGTATATATATATATATATATATATATATATATATATATATATATATATATATATATATATATATATATATATATATATATATATATATATATATATATTTAGCCAGGGAGGGGAAAATTCCACTGATGTGATGTGGGGTATGTCGGATTCTTACCGACTAAAAACCCCTCCCCGTTTACTCAAAGAAACAACATGACGGAACCACCCTTAGGTATTACTTCGAAGACGCTATATATATATATATATATATATATATATATATATATATATATATATATATATATATATATATATATATTTAGCCAGGGAGGAGAAAATTCCACTGATGTGATGTGGGGTATGTCGGATTCTTACCAACTAAAAACCCCTCCCCGTTTACTCAAAGAAACAACATGACGGAACCACCCTTAGGTATTACTTCATCATGCTGCTTGGACCAGTTCATCTTTTTCTTTGATGTTCCTCTATCTCCTTTTGTAAGAGAATTCTTTTGGCCATTTCGAAGACGCTATTCCAGACTTCCTCGCACTCTAGCATTCTCTGCACGACATGCTGTGGTGTCAAAGGGTTGCCACTTTATTTCTCGACTTTTCTCCGCTCTTTACAATACCTCGGACAAACAAAGAATGTGTGTTCAGCGCTGTCTTCTGTATCACCGCAGTACAGGCAGGTTGGTGCGTCACTAATCTTAAAGCCATGTAGCAACCATGTCCTGAGAGGAACTGAGTGAGATAGTAGTTAAGAGTTCCATGTTTTCTGTTACACCAAGGTATTATATTAGGGATTAGTCTTTGGGTCCATTGACCACTGCTGGTCGACTCCGACCACCGTCTTTGCCAATGTTCAAGAGATGTTGCTCTCGCGGTTATCTTGAACGCCCTATCTTTCCCGTACGTTTTCTCCCTTTCTTTCACCTGCAGATCTATTGGGATTATGTTTGCCAATACCAGCACCGCACTAGTTGACACCGTTCTGAAAGCACTACATATTCGAATAGCCATTTTCCTTTGGATCTTTAGCATCATATTTGTGTACTTCCTGTATTTTAGAACATTAGCCCAAGAAAGTGCCGCATAAAGTAGGATGGAATGAGCCACTGAACTCAATAATCTTCTCTTCGTAGATGTTGGTCCTTGTAGTCTTGGCATTAATCTTCTTAAGGCAGTAGCCGAGGCTTCTGCTTTTTGACATGCGTTGACGATGTGCCGTTTCATTTTAGTTCCTTGATCAATATGCACACCTAGGTATTTAGTGTCGGATTTTGTGGCAATATGGGTATTCATGATCTCAATTGTGATTTTTTTCACAGTTTTGCTATCAATCATTAGCACTGCTTCTGTCTTTTCAGGCGCAAGTTCTAAATTCATCTTCTTTAAACATTCAATTACACGCTGAATGGCGATATTAGCCAATGTCACCAGCGTTTCCTGACTTTTATTAGTTGCTACTATAGCGACGTCGTCTGCGTACCCAACTATTTTCACGGGTTGTGGCATTTCAAGTCTGAGTACTCGATCGTAATAAATGTTCCAAAGAGTCGGCCCCAGTACAGATCCTTGTGGGACCCCGCAGGTCCATGGTATGGCTATTGCCCACCATCAGCTCCCGATCCTTAAAGTAGCTTGTTATTATGCGTATCAGGTAAGGCGCTACATTTTGGTATTTAAGAGTGTCCACAATTCCAGGCCACGGCGCAGAGTTAAATGCGTTTCTTACATCGATCGTGACAAGGAGGCATAATTTTCTATTTTTCCAAGCGAAAGCCTTTGTATTTTTTGCTTCCTGTAGCACGACATTCACAGCGTCGACTGTTGATTTACCTTTGGTAAATCCGAACTGCAGCTTGGCCAGTCCCCCTTTTCTCGTTATTTCTGTATTTAACCTTTCCTTTAGCAAGTGTTCCAGGACCTTCCCCATACCGTCCACCAAACAAATCGGGCGATACGATTTAACTTCCATTTGTTTCTGAAGCTTTTCTATAAGAACTAACCTTGCCTTTTTCCAAATTTTTGGGAATTCGCCTCTATAGAGCTGGCGGTTCATAAGGTTAAGAGATTGCACAGGGAATTTCCTGATAACATTTTTGAAAATTTCTGCTGGAATCCAGTCCGGGCCAGGCGCCCCTCTCGACCTAAGTCATTTAGTTGCCTACTCTAATTCCTCCGTTGAAAATGGTGGTTTTTCTTTTGGATTCACCACTATCAGGTCCCAGGTTACTTTGGGTCGAGAAGGAAATAATTTCCGAGCCTCCTGTAACATACATTCTTCTGTGATCTGGAGAGATGGACTTAAACATAATGCTTTGGTAGCTATTTTATAACCCATGGCCCAGGTGTCATTTTCCACATCATCCACTACTCTCTTCCACGCCTGTTTTTTGGATTCCCGGATATCTTTTTTCAGGCTTGCGCGGGTTTCTCGATACTGTGCTATTGCCGAATTTTTTTCTTCGTCAGTAATATGTGACAATTTGTTTTTTCGAATCATGGTACGCTTTTTAAGCAGACATTCCTTTCTAAGTTTTTCTATCTGTGATGTCCGCCAGTAGACAGGTTTCTTATTAGCTTCCAGTCCCTTTTTTCTCATAAAGATACTGTTGCATGCGCCGGTGATAATTTCGGACCATGCTTTTGGTGTCATATCTTTAGTACTTTTTACAGATAATAATCTTTTCTCCAGAGTTATTAGGAATTCCTCAATTTTTGTGTGATCTACACTCCATCCTATTTGTTTCGGTTTTTGTTCAGATGAGTTCGTCTCGTTTACACTATCTTCTTTTATGTCCAGGAAAATAAAGTTATGGTCAGACAGATTTTCTTCGTCCGATACCTCCCAGCTTAGGATTTTGGTTGCTAGTCTACTCGTTGCGAATGAGATATCAATAAAGGACTCGCTGGTGCCCCTTTTGAATGTTGGCATGGTGCCTCTGTTTAACACGACCAGGTCCAGTTCAGAGCACCATTCCGAGTGGATATCCCCTTTGTGGTCGTTTATGGGTGAGCCCCACATCACCAACTTGGCATTAAAGTCTCCACATATAAGACATTGATTCCTTTGGTTACGGATACTTAGTTTCAAGTGGTGTAGGAAACGAAGATAAGTTTCTTTGCCCTCATTTGAGGATATATAACAACTATATATAACTATGTCCAAGTAGTTTATCCAGACAAAGCCGATGCCTTTGCCGCTGTATTGGGAATGTCCAGAGTTATTTATCACTTGTATCGCCGAGTCTAAGTTATCATCTGTCTGCCATTTATTTCTCATAGCAATTTTTTTATTTAGCTCGCTTAACCCGGCCACGTCTATTTTCCTCATTCCTATAGCTTGCCGTAACATGTCATGTGCAGCGTATCGTCTACCTAAGTTTACTTGGAGAATTTTTACCATTTTTCAAGATTGGATACTACACGCTTTGTAATACAGTCCTTTCGTTGATGGTTTTCTTCTCCACAGTTAATGGTTATGGTTTTTATCAGTGCATCACCATTGACGCCTTTAAGAGCCTCATTGTGCCATATTGCCTTTCTATTGCCAATATTAGGTTACCATCTTTAGACTTTCTTACTCCGCTGACTAGGTTGCTTAGTTGTCGTTTATTCACTTCCATCTTCACAGCTGTAAGCCGTTCCGAATAGGATCTGTGCCCTTTTTCTACCACGACAGCCTCAAATAGAATTTTTGACTGTGGCCGCGAGTTTTTTCCTGCACATTGCCTTTGTCTGCTTGTATCAACTGGGAAGATTAGTTCTACGGTAAACGCGCTGTTTTTTAGTGCACATTCCACAATTTTTCGGCATCTTTCATGGTCCCTTAATTTGAATCACCCGTTCGGTTAATCTTCGAATTAGAGCAGAGTTGTCTTCCTCCTTTGGGTCCATAAAAACTATGAGATCCGTTTCATTGATTACATTATGCAGGGTATCGTTTTTTACAACTGTATGTATAAACGCATCGTGCTCCCATTCTCTGCCAATTAAATTATTTAGCGCATTGTATAAATATTTTTTTTTCTACTCCCGTCTGTAAAATACCTAATTACCCACCGATCTAGCGTGCGGAAAGTCAGTTTCGTTTTCCACGGATCCGAGCCACTTCGGACATTTCCAGGATTTTACCATACGGGTTTGGCAGCAATCGGATGTATTAGTGGATATTTCTCACTCCTTAAATTTTGACGTTTGTCGATTCTGAGGGCCATGTCAGTGAATATATTCATGTTGTTTTGCGAAAATATACCCAAAAACTAACGGTCGTAGAAAAAGTATAGTATGGAACACGTTCGGTAAACTTTTTAAATCACTCGTTTATTAAACACTCACTCCGCTGCGCTTCGCTCGTGGCAAATAAACTCGTGAGTCAAATGCCGTTTACCGCACTTATTGCATAATATACTATTAGCTAAGATGAAGGAGCATAAAAAAACACAGAAAGTAGTGGAAACGGCATAGCAATATCTTTTTTCTACTCCCGTCTGTAAAATACTTAATTACACACCTATCTAGCCTGCGGAAAGCGTCCGAAAACATCCGATTGCTCCCAAATCGGCAAGGTAAAATCTCGGAAATGTCCGAAGTAGCTCAGATCAGTCAGAAACGAAACTGACGTGGTAAAGCGACGCTTCCCACATCGGTGTGTAATTAGGCATTTTACAGACGTGAGTGGAAGAATGTGTTTGTTAATAGTATATTATGCAATAAGTGCGGTAAACGGCATTTAACTCACGAGTTTAAATGCAGAATGCAACTATTGCTGCAAGAGTCTATGCTATAAGATATCCAGAAAGGCGCAGGTATACCAGAAGGATTTTTGGGAGATTGACACAAAGATTGAGAATCAGCGGAAATATTCATCGTCCTGTTTTACCAAGACGTGGTAGATGCAGAACCGAAAAGAATACTATTAATTTTTTGGCCCATATAGGATTCAATCGCCATGCAAATACCAGATATATTTCCCACGAATTAGACATCTTCGGAACAACCGTTCAACGAATTCTAAAAGACCATATATCCTTTCCTTTCCTTTTTCAATTATCCCATACCTACTTGATATAGGCTCCATCCATGCAATGTAGTACTTCACCAGGCTTTAACGATGCAGGATTATGATAACATTGCTATTGAATATGGCAGCTGAAAATCCTCGACTAATGTCAATGATATTGTGAACCGACAAAGTCACTTTTAAAAGTGATGAGCGAATAAATCAACACAATATACACTATTGGTCTAGAAAAACCCCACGTTGTATGGTCTAGCACGAAGGCAGGTGGTGAGGCATATTGGGCTTTATTGGGAGTTATTGTTGCACAATTTATTTTCGATCAGCTTCTAAATGGTGAAACATATTTGAATTTTTTAATCAACAATTTGCATAAACTGATGGAAAGTGTGCCATTGGAAACACTACAGAATATACTTTTCCAGCATGATGGGTGACCGACTCATTTTTCTCTATTGGTTGGGGAATATTTGAACTTAATAGGTGCATAGGCAGAGGAAATATATTCCCATGGCCAGCTAGTTAAGTATAATCATAAAAGGTGCATTAGGTTTATTTATAATTTTTTTCTCAATTTAATTATTATAGATCGCCCGATCTCACGCGCTTAGATTTTTATTTGTGGGGCAGAATTAAAAATATCGTCTATGCAACACGATCGACTATACGGCAAAACATGATAGATAGAACAAGCAGCGCCATTCAAGGAATTTCAATGGCTGAAGTAGAGACTGCTGCTCTTTCTACACAGAGAAGGCTGCAGCTTTGTATTGAGAATGATGGACGTCATTTATTTTATTGTTAGATTTTGTTTAGTGTTTTGTTTGAATTAAAATAAGTGTATACAGTTTATGGCCTTAGAAATCATAAACCAGAGCGGACTTCAATTATTATGGAACCCGCTCCAGATCAAGTTATTAAGGTATTTCTGAATAATTCTTTCTAACCTAATTTCCTCTCAATTATGTTATATATCTAAAATAAAATAAAAGTAGTATCGAACCTTTACTATAAATTATCATCCCGTCATAATATGTCATCTCTTGGTTATCTCTAATACTGCTTCTATTATACCTAAGTAAAAAAGATTTTTTAAATTAATTTTTATTTATATCACAGAGGGGAAAAAACGATACTACCATGCCGTTTTCACTACTTGCTGTGTTTTTTTTACGCTCTTTCATCCTAGCTAAAAATATTTATACTATTATATTTGAAAAATTGCTGTTTTTGACATGAAGCGCCTCCTGCCGATTCGTAAAAGAATTAATATCGTGATATTGACATGCCAGTCGAAGCTCCTATAAACTCTCTTTAAAACTAAAGTAAGTTCATCGAAATCGGATTAGCCAAAAAAAGTTAAACCAATATTTGACCGTTCCCCCACGGTTCAAAAAAGTTTCCTTATCTAGAGTAGATTACGTTAAAACTAATTTTGATATAAGTTAATTGGGAATATTTTTGAGAAAACCCGTTTTTTCCTATTTTACAGTAGAGGTTATGTCTCCTAGCGGCCATTTTATGAACCTGAAAATAATTTCCAGCTTTTTCTATTGGCCGATTTACCTTTAATTTTTTTTTCAAAGTTGTAGGTCTAAAGCTTCCTGATATATGGCCGGCTTTCTTTATTAATGGGCCACCCGATACATCCAGTATTCCTCCCCATCCCAAAACACCATATTATAGACGTGACTAATGCATAATAAAGGGGTAACATTTCGTATTTATTTAAAATATTTCTAGAATATTTAAATTTGTAAATCAGTGGCCTTAGGTTGTTTACTACTGTCGTAAATGTTTATTCAATTTTAATTGTGTATCCATTGTTATTCCTAAATACTTTATTTTTTCTGTCGACTTTATCGAGTAGCGTTCATAGTTTATTGTTTGTATATCTAAAGTGTTCAAATTGTGTGTAAACCCCGTTTTTTTTTTTTCATTCACCGTAAGTGACATCTATTTAAACCAGCTCCAGTGTTCACTGAAGTCATTTTCCATAATGATTTTCAGATCATCCCAAGTATAGGAAAACTTGGTCGTCCACAAAACCAAGAATGATATTTGATGTGTTTGCATAATACAGATTATTTATGTATAGAATGAATAATATTAGCGCTAAAACGGATACGTGAGGGACACCATAAGAAATAATTTTTTTTAACTATACGTACTATTAATTTTTGTTTTCGATATTCTTTCTGTAATTTAATTTTTAAATAGTTTCCAAGATATTCCGAGTCCTGCAAGACCTCCAACATCAATTTATGGTCAACTGTGTCAAAGCACTTGGAAAGATCGAGAAACACTGCAAGAACTATTTACTGTTTTCAAGTGAGCTGTAGGTTTGTGAAGTTGAAATGGCTATTGTGTTTTCTGTAGACGTACCTTGCCGGAATCCATATTGATTTTTATTTAATATTTTGCTGTCCTCTAGGAGGAACTGGACTAGTCTCTCCTTAAGGACCTTCTCAAAAAATTTTGCAGTGTTCCTTATGTGTTGTTGAACTTTTGCCGTATTTAATTCATCGGCGTTTTCTAAAAATTTCTCAATGATTCCCTTCTCGCCACTGAGTGCATTAATTGTAAATAAGGTTTCCAAAGCGCTAAGGCCAATGTTTGGATTACCATCCACGAGGTTTCGCGAAAGAGCATCAGCGGCTTGATTCTGCTTTCAATACAATTAAATTCTTCAAATTTGAGGAGGCAGCGAATTAAACGACTATTTGCTTCTTTTAAATTTGAAAGCCAGATTAAAGGTTTATGGTCTGTGAGGACGGAAAACTTTTGACAATTGCTAGCAGTTGCTTCTCGATGGTAGAATAATTTATTTCCGCGGGGTTTAACGTTCTAGATGCGCAACTAATTGGGTTTTCTGACAATATTACTTCAATGGCATAATTAGATGCATCAATTGTCAATTCGAAAGTTTTGGTAAAATCAGGAGACACCAGTACTGGTTCCGAAGTGAAAATATTCCTACAATGTTGAAAATAGTTCATAAATTCTTTAGAATAAATTAGCTTCTCGTTCTTCTTGAGGCATTGTGTTAACGATTTTGTAATTTTCTCCAAATTTTTTAAGAATTTTCGGTAATAACCGAGCAAAATCTAAGAATTGTTCAATTTCTTTTTGTGTACTGGGTATCGCGAATTTTTGAATGGCTTCGACCTTTTCCGTGTTTAGTTTGATGCTTTCTGGTGTTACTACGTATCCTAAAAATTCTTCCTTTCTTAGGAATTCGCATTTATCAAGTTGGATTTTCATTTTTGCATCTTGTAATGTTGAAAATACAAGGCGCACCATTGGAATGTGTTCTTGCAAACCTATACTAAAAA